AAGGAATAAAAGAACAACATTATACTATGCATACTGGAAGACCAGAAATCACGTTCGCATTTTTTAATTAATATTCCACGGCATATATATATATATATTGTATGTATGAGAAAATTTAAAATTTGTCAATGGAACTATCCCATCCGTTTATGGATTTTTAATGTTTAAGGGTATTTTTTATTGAAAGAATATAATTTGCTCTTACTCTACGAAATAAATTGAAAAAATAGAGAAAACGAGAATGTAATTGTGCTTTGCACAAGTTGCAATGTCGACAGACTTTGTATGTGCTAAATAATAACAAAAAGAGTTCATAATAACTCTTTCCAACACAATAGACGGCAGTTTACAGGTACTACAGTAAAATCTGTCTTAGGTGTAGACCTAGAAGAAAAAAACGTTAAACCTTCATAAGTAAGGCTAAGTTTCTTCTTTCATCAGATACCTAAAAGAGATATCTTATAGTTTTATGGTGGCGAATTTATCTTTTTTCAGCTTTCTTTTTCCTAATATTCCTAACAATCTCAATTATCAATAACTTTATGTCTTCTTCGATATTTCTTGTTATTTTGACCAACGAATCTCCTTTTTCTTCTTGTTTTTCCGTCACTAACGAAAATTCTTTTCGCAATAAAGAAATAAACAATTTATTTTGTTCTCAAAATTCTCCTTAAAAAATGGCGCCGGCAAGAAAATGTATGAAAATCTTCTAAATCCAGAGTTTATTTTCCGTTAACTTGTTCCGTCTTAGGGTGCAGAATATGAACCATTGCTCGAAAAATGAACAAGCATTGATTGGTTAATCTCGAATATATCAAGAACGATATCCCGTTTTCAGAACTTTTCTAAGTAGCGTAGTTCTCTAGATCATGAGGATCACGCACATTTTACACAAAACAGCAGCCAAAGAAAAAAAAACATTTTTCGCATCAAAAACACATAATGTCTGTCGACATAAAAATCCATTTGCATATGAATACAAATTCATAAATAAATTGATAAAGTTTTCATTTACACTTAATAATAACAGACTGTTCCATATATATTTATAAGTGCAATTGTTTGATCCAAATTGGTCTCTTCTTCGGAGTATATTAACTGAATAGATTGTACACTATTAAAAAAAAAAACAGTATCTGCTAAGTAACTGACGTGGGAAAAGCAACACATAAAATTGAAATTTATTTTACGAATTGTGTAGCAAATCGAGTGATGTTTCGTGGGAGTGGTTTGGTACTTGAACAATATACATCATTTGATCCAGATTTTTGTGAGGATTTCAAATATGCTGCCTACGTTCCTGGACAACTCTTAGTTTTTGAGAAAGAAACAAAAAAGCTGTTTTTATGTGAAAAATAGATTTTTATCCTATTCCACCATTTTTCTTCTTTTCTACAATTTGTACTTCTTTTCTCTCCTTTTTTCTTCACTTTTCCCTATTTTTATGTATTTTCAGAATGAACTGACACAACGAGAAAGACAATTGCCATATACAGCTTGTATTACACACTGATTTGTTCATCTACTTACTCTTCTATTTGCACAAATCTCTCACTAGGAACTGCATGCCTGATCGGTGAACTTGATGAATTAAATGTCATTAATTAGCAGTACACGTTTATATTTTCCTCGCGAACGTCAAGTATACAAGTTGGCCATTATGCCAAGGTATTTTGGAATCAAAGACACCTTTAGACTTATCGAAACAGTCAATATCATTCAAAATAACATCATACTTCTCGATTACAGTTGGTTAAAGCTAATGTATCATTTATGCGAAATTTTTAATTAGAAGTTAAACATTGGTGATCCGTTCTAAAACAATAGTTATAGACTAACATGACTTTCCGCCTTTCTCTTCGGGTCAAGACAGGCTAAGTCTTGACAGGCAAATCAAATATTTATTGTAGAGCTAAAAGGTGTAGTTCTTAAAAGCGAGCGTTGAAGCGTTTAACTCTTTCAAGAATGAAATGGAAAAGAATACGTACAAGAATTGTTCATTTGTCAAAACGTTTTTACAGTTCCATAAAAAAATGCATAATTTTCTTTAAAAATTGAATATCCTATTACTTATCGTAACTTAATCGTATAGGTTTTCAATTGAAACTTTATTGCATTTATCGATATTGTTTTAAACATAAAAATCAAAATGATTCAGAGTATATTATGTGCATGTGAAATGCAAAGCAACCGTAACAACTTATCCAAATTTGTCAGTCGTCGTACGGGATGAAAACATATACATTTATCAGATGAAATTGATATGAAAATATTACAAATTCAAAAAAAATTTAAAATGTAAAGCTGTGGAAGAATCTAAACCAACAAATCGTACAATTGAAGAAGCATATTCAACCTACTAATTGAGATACATGTAATCAATTGTAATCAATGAAAACTAAAGGGTATCTATTTTTCAGATCACCAAAAAATAAGACTTTTGATCACCAAATCAATTAAAGAAATTTAAATTAAAGAAAATATACACAAGAAGAATATATAACAATTTAATAACAAATTAATTAGTGAACAGTATATACAAAAAAATATATACAACAAGAAATATGAACAGAGCAGAAAAAAGTATAGGACACTTATTTATCGTGTTCTCTCAATTCGTCCCACAAATTTTTTTCTCAGTTCGTCCCAAACAATTCGTCACAACTTTTTCACTCTCAATTCGTTCCATTTTTTACATACTTATTCTACATAAGTTCTCTTTGTGTTCGTCAAAATAACAAGTTTCGTCTATGTTGGTCAGCTTAAAGTAAATAAAAATATGTATGGAAGCGTGTCTAAAGCAGACAGTAGAATGATGCGATAATAAATGATCTACCGAGAACCAACAATCACATAGAGGGGTATAATTTAGAAAGTGTATTTCCTGTTCATCCACACATTTATGAATTTATTGATCTATTACGTCAAGAACATGTCTTCCAGTCAGGACCATCATGCAGAAGAATGTGAGGTCCAAACTCGCAAACGTAAAAAAAATTTACAATGAAATTGATAAAAAATTGAAAAATTTACTTGACACTCATGAAGAAGGGAAGTTAACAAATCCATAAATGCGGAAGGGTCATAAAAATTCATATGGAATAAAGACAATGTGTTAATAATAATTTTTTGTTTCCATTTCTGAAAGTTAAGTTAAATATAAGAGAACTTATATAGAATAAGTATTTAAAAAATGGGACGAATTGAGACTAAAAAAAGTGGGACGAACTGGGAGAGAGAGCAATTAGCGACGAATCGAGAGTAAACCGTTCATACTTCTTCTTGTTATATTTTCTTTAATTTAAATTTCTTTAATTGATTGGGTGATCAAAAGTCTTATTTTTTGGTGATCAAAACACATTTATCTCAAAGTAAGTTATATGCAGCAAAAATTCTATTTTTCTTTCCTGTTCTGTAGAAAAAAAAACCTAATTAAAATAGAAAACAATCAATGGAAAGTATAAATCGTTTATACTCTTCAAAGGGTTGTTTTCATTTAAGTAAAATTTATTTTTTAGAAACTTTGTATGATAAACTAAAAATGAGGTTTTCAAGGCTGGCGTGGGAGATATTTTCTACAATATTTCAGAGGATATTGTAGAAAATATTTTCACCAAATCCCTTAACTTAACCGTTCTGTGTTTAGTAAATCAATTTCAAGATTCATACAATGAATGGTAATACTATAAGCTCAAACTAATAAAAAGGTATGTCTTATTTGTAGAAACACTTCATCTCTGACATGATTAGAACACTACAAAATCAGTATTTGAAAATCTGACAGTCACATCTGTTTATGCTACGATGATGCAGCGTTTCTATAGATAGGACAACTGCTGCGTACAGATCTAGCTAGATTTCTCTATCAATGTCTGTAAAAATTAAATAATTGCTCATATTTTGTTATCTGTTGTTATCTCATCATCAAAAAATTATGAGACATTGACGAAAGTCTATGTTGCTGGCAATCAAATTATTGTGTCCATAGTTTAATAGAAATGTTTTGACACGTTAATATCGTAATACTCGTCAGATTGATGAGAAAGCGCATTTGTTTTTATTTTTCTCCATTGTATATTATATTCTACTATTTTATGACATTAACTATTAATTTTTGTTTTAGGTTGATGGTTGTCAAACTACTTTTTTCATAAAAAAGAGAAAAATATAAAAAAGTTGTTGTCTTCTTCTTTTTCGTCATTAACAACAACAACAACAACAACAACTGTAAGAACACATTTTTGTTAAACATATTTACAGACAAAATTTTTTTCTTCTAATTTGAGTGCTAGTAGTAATTAATAAAACTCCATTCATTAATTTTTATTTTTGTATATCCATGATGATTGATTTTTGAGAACGTGTGTCTGTCTGTGTGCGTCGCTATTTCAAAAGGAAGAAAAAAAAAAAATATCGATATGCAGCAAGAAAAAGAGAACAGAGAAGAAAAAAGATTTTAACGAACACAATAAAAAAAACAACAACAACGACAAAAAAAAAAAAACTTTTTTTTGAAAAGGGCAAAATAAAGACATTTGAAAAAAGAAAGTATACATATACATATTGCATCATAAAGAACGAGAAAGAAATAAAATAAATGATAAAATGTTACTAGATACCAAAGGTTTATTGGCATAGATTTTTTTGACCGTTAGAAATTGTATATAAAATATTACATGTTATATTTAAATAAAATCTCGCTCCGAATATAAAGACAATATTAGCGACTGGAAAATTAAAATCAAGTATTGGTTACCGCTTGATTTTGAAGTTGTTCTTTGGTGTATTATTGACAACTATAATAACTAAGAAAAAACTAGGAGAAAAAAATACTAACGATGATAATAATAATAGTAATAATAATAATAATAATAATAGTACCGTCATCATCATTAAATTTTATATGCGTTGTTGTAACAGGGAGGATGAAAAAAAAAACAAATAGAAGAAAAAAATTTATTTAAATAACCCCGAACGAAGCGAAATAAATTTAATTGAAATTAAAATTCTTCAAATTCTTTTGTAAATTTTTCGGTTGTCGCAATGCGTACTAAAATAACAATTAATATAAAAATTTATCAAATTTGTCATGTAAATTGTTTTATTTTATGTTTGAAAGACAAGAAAAACTATACTTACAAGGTTCTTCTTCATAATCATCGAAATTACTAGCATCACCTGGTCCTTTAGTTTTGGGTATGAATGGTGGTTCAACCTAAATCAAAAATAATATTTGAATAATTTCTACTATTGATAATCAAGTTCTACTCAAAAGAAAAAAATCATTATAAACTCAAGTTTGAAACTCAATTTATTCGATCAATTAATAATTAGGAAAATTTCTGTTAATATCCATAATGATTCTATCTTATTTTTTTATTACAACTAAAATATCTTACTTTTCTCTGATAAATGGCTATCCAGTCTGTCGTCGAAAACCACTTATGCTGTTTAATATCATCGACTCCATTTTTAAGATTGCCATATCGTTTTGTTAAATCAACTTGTAATAAATTTCTTAGAATATCTTTTAAATCACTACTAAAATGAGATGGAAATCGTACCTGAAAAAATAAAATAAAATGTATTATCTACAAATAATTGATTAAAAATTATACTACTTACTTTTCCAGATACAATTTTTTCATATATTTGAATTGGTTGATCAGCAAAAAATGGTGGATAACCGGCTGACATTTCATAGGCAAGAACTCCAAGTGCCCACCAATCTATAATGTAGAAAAAAATTGAATATATTGTTAATTATCATTATCATTGTCAATAAGTCATACCAACAGCTTTATTGTATCCCTAGAAAAGAATTAAATTAAAATTAGAATAAATATTCATATATTATTAAAAAATTTTCTATTTACTTTTGATAGAATAATTTCTGGTGCAAGATATTCTGGAGTACCACATAGAGTCCACGTTCTTCCTATAAAATCAATAATAATAGATTCTATTTTCTCATATAATTGACATATTTAAAATCCATACCCTTAATTTTTTTGGCAAAACCAAAATCGGTCACCTAAATATATAAATTATTCATTATAAAAATAGAATAATAAAAAATAATGAATATTATTAGTTCAAACCTTTAAATATCCTTCTGCATCAATAAGTAAATTTTCTGGTTTCAAATCACGATAGAGAATATCCAAATAATGAAGATATTCAAATGTCAAAACAATTTGTGCAGCATAGAATCGTGCATGTTGCTCACTAAATATTTACAGATTAATTATAAATGATATAAAAAATCAATTTCTATATATTCTACCTGAATCGTCCAACTTTTCTTAAATGACTAAACATTTCACCTCCTGGTACAAATTCTAATACCATATATAAATAAGAGTTATCCTTAACAAATTAGAAAGAAAGAAAAAGATATAAATAGAGACGATTATGTAAATAAAAATTTAATTATATTAATATTACTTTGAAATGATGCTCTAAATTGACCAAAAATGGAAAAGTAATGGCTTGTAATATTCGTTTTTCATTTAATGTATGTTCAACTTGTTTCAATTTTACTACCTAAAAAAAGTTATATTGAATTTCATTTATTATGTAATATAAATTAGCTTAGATATGTTGACTAAAAACTATGTCGGTATATCAAAAGAGTCAAACATTATTTTTCAAACTAAATTAATGAAATAAATCAAAAACAATGAAAATATCATATGTATTTAACCAAAACATTCTTTTTTTGATTAAAAACACGATAAATTAGAGATATTTCTTTTAATGAACGCATGTCTATAAATAGCTCAAGTTCTAAACTGTCTCTAAATGGTGAAAAAACAAAAACCTTGACAATACATATTGTTTTCTATTATCTATTTGTCAAACTCTTATGCTTTGTCCAGACGTCGAATGATATGATTGATGAGAACATTCTATTTATGTACAATACATTATTTTTATAGACTAATTCTGACAAAAGAAAATTTCTTTGACATCCACACAGATGTGTTATCCACAAATCTTTCGTTTTTCTTTCTAACAATGAAAAACTTATATAAAAAATGTATATCATACTTTCTGTTTATCGAGTATTTTCATTGCAGAAAAATGTCCAGTACTTTGATGTTTGACCAACATCACTCTCCCAAATGATCCTATAGATAGAAGAAAAAGAAAATTCATTATTAAACACAGAATTAAATATTATTATATACATTACCTGTTCCAAGCGTTCGGATCCGATCAAAATCATCTGGTTTTGCTGTGTTCTAAAAAAAAAGAAGAAAATACGATAGAAACTATTTTGAAGAGTGAACAAAAAAAAATTATCATAGTCCGATTGTAAAACTTTAATAACAGCTGATTTTGTTATAGCATTTCATGATGTTTTTAATTAAGTTCGATAAAATCCTCACCCTATTCGCCATTTAATTCAAATAATTTTGAAATGCTTTTTTGCGTGACTATGTTCATTTTATATATCTGCTCTTGAAATGTTTCGGTTTTTTTTCTTCTGCATTATAAAAAAGGAATAAATACTTAGTTTTCCGTTATTTTACTCTTTTTCTCTACATTATAGTTAAAGATTAGTTCATCCATTTCTCTCTCTCTCTCTCTCTCTCCCTCTCTCTCTCTCCCTCTCTTTCTCTCTTTATCCTTTTGTTATACGTTTGTTACATGTTTTTTCGTGCACTAATTGTGTTCTTCTTCGTCTCATATATACAGAAAAAGAGAGCCTTCTGCCTCCATTAATTTTAATAATCATCGGCAGACATATGAACACTTTTTCTTCTTCCTTTTGAGGTTTTATTTGTTGTTTTCACTATCTGCTATGCATCTAGGGAGTTTTCGGTTCACTTTGAATAATAATTATAAATAGCAAAAGCTAAGAGATATCATTTAATAATAAAATTCTAAATTGCTTACTTGACTTGGTTTTTCATATTTGACTTGAAATTCATCTTTTGCTTTTGCCAGAAAAGCTTTCACTGAAAATTGAGATGTCATAATATTAGATGATACTAATGAACGTTGTTAGACAACACAAAAAAGATTTTACGATTAAATAAAAGAATAAGTTTCCAATAAAAAACTGCAGATAATAATAACTCTAAACTGATAGTGGTAAGACAAAGAACAAGGGAAAAAAATAGATTGCAGCATCCATCACAAGTATTTATTTCTCATCCCTATTCTTTTTTTCTCTTCTCTATATTCATATGAAATAGTTCTTTGGAATCTACTCTTTTTCTCTCATTTTTCAAGGACAGATTATGTTGAATAGGCAAGAAACGTAAAACATGATGGAAAGAGGGAACCAAGAAACACGGTAAATTAAAGAGTAATTCACATAGTTTTTTTTCTCTTGAGATAGTGTTGACAACGTATAAAGAAAAAATAACACTCATCAAACTAGTGATGATATAAGTTCCATCTATAATCAACCAGATAATAACAACAGGTTTTTTTTAAATGATACATATAGTTTTTAACGCAAAAATAATACGCTAGACATCAAACACAATTTGTCAAGTTAAAAGTAACATAACCATTGCTCGGCTTATTCTAGCAACATATTATCATTGTCAATAGCTAACTTGAAAATATCCCATAGTTAGAGAAAGAGGGAAAAATTTATCCATGCAGTTATAGATACGTGTAATTTAGTAATTACGATGAAAAAAACACCAAAGTAAGATTTTTTTTACCGTCTGTTTCACATAGGCCAGAAGGAGTCTATGCTTAGTATTCTTAAGGAGAACACTTAGTAAAAGATACAATTTTCTTATTGTGTAATTTAAAAATGAAATATTAGACTGTAAAATAGGTAGAAAAACATCTAGATCAGTAAATTGAGAATATATCATTTAATAGATTTTAAACTTAGAAGATAACTAATATTTCATATAAATACTTACTAGAACTAATTGCGTCTGCTGTGGATGGATTAGCCGCAGCGCACATGGTTTTTTGCTATATACTCTCTTTTATTCTTTATTATAAATGTAAGTTTTTAAATAAAATAAAATTTTCATCGTATCATCAACTTGTTAGATTTTTTTTGAAAAAAGAAAAACGCGATCAAAAATAGTATTAAAAAAAAATAGAGAACGAACAAACAAAAAAAATTCTCTGCCATTAACAGCATATGGTTTTACGAAACTACGGTGATTACACAATATTACCGACGCAAAAGAAGAAAAATGAGTTTCATTCTTTCTTCTTATTACTACTCTTTAACAACGATCGCACAACTATTTTATATTCAAATATGCAATTAGTAAAGACTAACAATACTGTCAAGTGATATTATTCTCCAACTTACACTGTCATACTCACTTGAAAATTAATAAACAATCTATTTATAGACCAACTGTCTACACGTTCACAAATCATAAGAACAGAAAAAACACGATTACGATAGGAAATCAAAGAGTTTTTTTCATTTCTCAATAGATTATAGTACCATCTAAGTGAGTGTATGTTATCTAAAGAAAATAGACAACAGAGACTAGGCCTATCTTGATTTTGTAAAAAACATAGCTTTATTTCATCATTAAGCGGTAATAGAAAATATTTTTTTAGGATAAGCTATTTCATAATTATTTTAGTAGGTGCTAATCTGTTTGTCACCCACTGTTTATGACTTAAAAGTACGAAATAACTAACATCTTTAATCGTTTCTTAGAAACTCACAAATTTTCGGTCCAGATCGACGTTTTGGTGAACTGAATAGTATTTGAAACAATGTGTGATATAAAATAAATAAAAATTTCTTTTTTTTGTTGAATCGCTTGTCGAATTGAAAAACAAAAACTACTGTTATTTTCTGCGGCTGTTACCTGAGTAAGTTTTGTCTCATAAGTTCGTCAGATGTCGCTCATTGTTGAGGAACCCAGCTTGCGGCGCTACACTCTAAAAATAAAAGTGACCCTAAAACTATTCTTTTTAGGAACCGTTTTTCCGCTGAACACTTTTCAGAAAGATCACTTCTAAAATGGCCACCATAAGAACACTTTTGAAAAGTGAAATACAGTAGAGTAGTTTTGAAAAAGGTCACTTTCAGAAGAAGCGAGCTGAAGCACTAAAAGGGTTCCAGAAAAGAACACTTTTGAAAGTATTCCTCAGTATAGCATTTTAAAATTGCTCCAGAAAGAAAGCGTGGGAAATAGAAATCGTTCTTTCCAGCTACATATTTTTTTTACAGTGTAGTGCTGACTTTCAGACTAAGCAATTAAGAAGTATCACAGCAGATCTGTTTCTATATTTTCGAAAGAAATCTTATACTTTAAACTACAAATACATATGATCTAATAATTATAGAAACCATATTGGTACTGGTCTTTCTCACAATTTGTGACAATTTTACCTCTTTTTAGTTTCATATAATAATATTTTTCTAGTGTATTTTACCGTATTGAATCCAAGAAGTGAATCATTATCCAAAACTGTAGTAACAGAAAAATTATGCAGTCTAAGAAACATATTATTTCATTGTTTGATCTCAAACACTGTGTACTAGTTAAAAAAGACTGTCATGTGTGATTAAAATAAACGGTGTTCATCATAACCTTCAGTTAATAACTCGACGTGCATGTAAGGATAGATATTTTCCATCTAAAAGGTTTTATACTAATTATACTTTTTAGAACATGAAAGCTTTGAAATGTTGAGTCAGGGAGACCTTCGCTCACTTTTTCGATCAAATTTTAATGTTTGCAGAAGGCATGTCGTAAAGGGATGGACACAATAGAGGACCCCCCTACGATAAAAGACCCCCTGTTACAAGACCCCTCTTGAACTCATAACGCAAAAACCACGTTAGAAGATTCCCTTCTTTTATCGATTTCTGACCTAAAATATGTTGATTTTGAGGTTCAATCAAACACTAATCTTTGCGTTTGTCTTTTCCCTCAGCTGTTCCCAGGTCGAATTCACCCGATCGGATCCTGCCGGATCCTTTTAATTCCGGTGATTTCCGGAGATCGGACGCCCGACCAGTGCGAATAATGTATTCACCGTTTTGTTTCACGATAGGAGCACTTTAAATACGACACTGCAGAAAATGAAAAATGAGAAGTTGTTCTTCTCAAATTCTTAACAATGTGAGTCATCGCTCACACTGTTCAACGGACGTGTTATACACGTCCTAGCTAGCGGGCCCCTCCACTCTCTCGAATGAACAGAGAGAAGAACTACTAGAAAATGAAAGAAAAAATTGAAGACTATTTTTAACCTTAAAATTGGTCACATTCTGCCAAATCCAGCGAAATCCGATTCATCGGCCGGAAGGTCCCGGAAGATGTAGGATCCGATCGGATCTTTTCCAATATCTTCCGGCACAGATTCCGAACAACGGATTTCCGGCATGATCCGGTATGATTGCTGCCGGATTTTACCGAATTCCACCAACTTCCGGCATGTTCCGATGTTGGATCCGGCAGGATCCTGACGCCGGAATGGACGACCTGGGTTAGAGTGAATATACAGCTGCTAGACAAAAAGAAGTGTGTGCGTACACAGTGCGAACTCTCGATCAAGCGGTTTCAGCTTAAAATCGGCTTTTTTAGGAACGTTTTAGAAGACCCCCTTCAAAGTTATGAACGCTAGGACGCGATATAAGACCCGGGTCCTCTATTGTGTCCATCCCTTTAGTATAAAGTAAAGTAATGATTTGCAGTTTTATAGCATTTTTAGCTCACCATTACCTCGCTTCAAAAAGATATGCTTTTAAGATTCTCCGCAAAATACTTGAAAAATCGAAAGTTTTTACTTTTCTAAAACTTTTTCTTCTTTTTCTACTTGAAACTATTCTGCATTCATTGTCTTGTAGAACAAAGTGCTTTCATCAAAATAAGATGCCTTTCTGATTTTACTGATACTTTCCTAAAGAGTTTTATATATCGAAAAAGTATGTGTCATTATCTGTAATTGAGTTGTATTTAAAAAATGAAAAAGCGTTACGCCTTTGATTGATAAGAATAAGAGTAAGACGTTTAAAATTAAAAGAAACGATTAAAAGATATTCTGTGTGGAAAATAGTGACCTTGGAGAGGACAAAAACACTACATTGATTCCCGATACATATATCTCGCTTATTGTAGTTGGTATATGCATTTATTTCTTCATTTATACTTCGTAAAAAATGGATTCCTATTTCAACTGGACAAGCAAAAACGAATTTGAGTGTACTTTTAGCAACGGAGAGCAAAGAAAGAGAAAGAGAGTTTCAGATTCCGCGATGTGAAATATATACAAATAATTGGTTCTTAAATGTCAGCGAAAGAGAAAAAAAGATTGTGAATGACGTTTTCTCATGTTATTTGCCTGTAATAATGTCAATTTAATATTATGAATAAATCGCGTACAATACTTTATACTTTATCCTCCTTATTCAAACATAACACACGAGTTTAAACATCAATTTGTACTAACTTCCAAACCTATGTATTATTTATGATTCAGGTGTGTTTCACATCTTTCCAACCTTTTCAGTAAAGGAACATGACCTCTTACATGGGTACATTCTTTAGAAAATAATCAGGGCAATTCTCTTTTAACAACGTAAACCGTTATACAATACTTTACGTTAGGAGGAGGTCCCTCAAAAGGTCAATTGATTGACAAATTGATTTCGAATTTTTCATATGAATGAATACGAATGTCAAGTTTAGGAGTCTGTATCACTTTATGAGTATACTGCGTCGATCTTCAAAAGAGTTTTCTAGAAATCCTAAAATCTACCTGGCTAAAACTTTCTAACTCTAATTTTAATTAATTATTCAAAGATAGAGATTTGTAAAACAAACTCTTCTCTTCAAAATAAGATGTAGCGCAACGCTGTATGATTTTGCGGTAGCGAAGTCCTAAACTGCACTAATTCAGGGCGTGTTCTTTCGCTAAGCAAGGTTCATTTTTCTCAAGAACGTTACAACGCAGGCCATCAATTCTTTATCCCCAGAAAGAGTGTCCAGTTTAGTCCATAATGAATCTGATTTTGCTGCTGTCATCGAACTCAACAGAAAATATCTTATGATGAAGGACTTTCGCGATATCTATAATTAATGTTGAATCATTTAACATCTTGAGCTGGAAATTAATCCACAGCCTACAAATACGCCCTGATATATCCTGTGAAAGTTTAATTCAGACTGGGTGTTTAGTATAGAAAAAACGTTATGAAGGGTGTCACCTCGTCCCCTAGACAAAATTTTACGGATTTCCTACCTATTTCCTACTAAGATCCTAACCTTTAAGACATTTTAGGGCGATCTAATATGTTAGAATCATATTAGATTTCGCTTAGATTCGTTTGGAATCCTTACAGAATCCTGGAAAGTCCTACGACTTCAGGTACCTCTGATTTTTTTAGGATCCTAAACAATTCCTAATAGTAGCCTGGTCCTATATCTCGCAGAAATTCGTAGGTCTGTTACTAGGATTAAAGATAGGATATTTTGGTTGAAGTCTGAGCGTATAAAAACTTTTTCATTAGACCTTGCGACCAATTTACTAATTTTATTATTATGATCACTTATTGGATAGTAAATTCCATAGTTTCAACAACAGTAGTTTACCATAAAAATAAAAATAGAGAAGTCAAGTATCTCTTTTTTTATAGACACTTCACGATTGTTTTTCTTAACAAATGATAAAAAGAACGATCTTCAATAATAGTCTAGGCTTCTATTAATGGAATATTCATACGAGAAGGTTTCGCAACAGAAAAGAAAAAACAAAAACCATAGCATAGCTCTTATAATTAATAGATTAAGGCTTACCCTTTTCAGATGATTGTGGTTGTTGATTTGAATTACCTGTTTCTGGATCATCCTTCTCGTTTCCTACGTTGTGAACTGATTTTTTATCTTTATCTTTATCTTTTTTAGATTTGTCGATTTTGAATTTTTCTCGAAGCGCTTGCATTGTATATATTAACGTGAAAAAGATGATAATAGTGGTGGTAATTTGTTGAGTTTAGTTATGTTTAAGAAGGCTACGCCACACCGCTTAGCTCTTATTCTTTTTCACGTTTCGGGGAAATGCAGCCCAACGCGACAAAAATATACTAAAAAAATATTGTTTATGCTAGTAGACTATATATATATGTATAATTTTATCAGAAGAGAAAGAGAAACAGAAAAAATACGAAAGAGGAAAAGAAAAAAGAATTGACTTATTGTGTGTTGTATAGAATAATAATAATAATAATAATGTTTCGAATCCGTGGTTGAATATCATAGTACGAAGACGAAAAACGGGACTAACATGCGAGGGTGACGGATTCTCGCTTCTTGCTCATTCATTATATACTGTGCTGCAGCTTGTTCTCCTTCTTCGTTTTATGTTATGATTAGTCTATGTTTTCTTTCTTCTTTCTTTTTCTTATTCTTTTGATACGTATATTTTTCATAGATCTTTGCTGAATAAGAGTACTTAGGGATAAAAAGAGGCAGTCTATTTAAATATGTGGGTTCATCAGAGACAAATCTTTACCGACTTTCAGGTGCAACTTTTCAATACGTTCTAAGTAAAGAAGTTGTTCATCTTGATTATCTATTTATTCGATAAAATAGAGACTAGTCCATGATGTGGACACAAATTTTTTCAAAATTGATCTGAAGTAAGATGACGATTTAAGTGCAGTTACTCATCAGTAATATAAGTATACTTAAAATTAACGTTCTTTTACTGTAATATATACATTTCTTATAGTTTACGACTTTTCACTAACGTTTTCGGATACATTTACCAAAAGGTTCTTCTGAACATATTCTTCACTTTCTTTATCTAAAAAATAATGAACTGTTGCTGCTTTGAAATTTTTGAGGTTTGTCTCTAAAAATTTCATTTATTTTAAATCACTGTCTCTTGTCAGCCACTAGTACATTTTATGAATCAAACGTGTGATGTTTTAGTTCTTTTTCTTTTTTTTCTTATTCGCGTGTACCAAAATAATACGTTTCCTTTTTTTTAAGTAAAACTGTTGAATATAAGTACTTATATATTGAGAAACAATGTATGCGTAGTACCTTTCTTTTTCATACTGTATCTAACTTATTTCTGCTTTCAAAACACCGATATATATATATATATATATATATATATACACATGTATTTATTACTTCAACAAACTGAACTGGGATCTAGTTCACATAATACCATAGAGAAAATATAAAAGTATTTTTTTGTATACTGCTCGTGGTGATTATTGATTTTTCTTTTCGAGCGTCATCATCATCCCGACACGATTATTATCATCAATCTTTTCTTTTCTGTACTTTCTTTCTTTCGTCCTTCAATTTCACTGCACAAGTACATATGATGTACAGGATTGCAAGAAGTCAGTTGTTTGAATAAAAAAAGTATAGAAAAAATATTGAACATCAATGTCTTAAAGATTGCTTTGTATAAGTCAAGTTGTCGTGTACGGTTCATCATCATCGATCATTACTTTTCCAATAGTTGACGATGTTTTTTCTTGTATTTATCAACTAATTATCACAAAATACATTTAACCGAGTTAGCTCTGTTATTGACCTCGCGAATATATGAACTTGCGACTGTATATTTTTCTAGTACATTCAGTTTTCACCCAAATAACTAAATAAGAATCTATCATGCGTATCATCAAAAATAATCATGTCAAAAAAAGTTCATCGTTATTTGTCCTCTGGCCATATATTTTTCTTCTACTATATAGAGACAGATAAGATTTCAACTATATATAGTCAATTCTATATTTAATATTTTTACTGCGATTAATATTAATAAAGTTTAATTCGAACTTTTTTGAAAACTTCCTCGCTTTGAAGGACAAACAGTAATTATAAAAGTTTTCATAGCAAAAGACACTATTTTTACATTAATCTCTTCAATAAAAAAAACGAAAAGATTATTACAGTGGAGATTAATATAACGTATAGTTATTTAATGTACGCATTGAAAGAACAGGGTTGTGCTAGAAAAACTCAATATATAATCAATCTCACAAAAATTGTAAATTCAAACTTATCCTAGGAAACGAAGAGCGTGTCAAAAACATTTTTTGTTATTGATGATGTTCTAGCCTTAAAATTTATTTATGCTTTCTAGTTTTAGTATATTTACATTTTGTGCGTAGATAAAGTTTGATATGTGAATGTGAGCTTGGAATACAAGAAATAAGAGAAATGGTCACTTTAACTTAATATCAGTAGGTTATTCAGAACGCCAGCGAAACTCTTATCTTTCATCTTATATTTAGAAGTCATTACCTTTTATTTTGTCTATTTATCAAGCTATTTTTGTCTAAGGTCTCTGGTTTTGTTTTTATTGTGAACTTTTGAAATTTAAGGTCAATCATAGTCTCACAAAATAAAAGTTGTTATATATTTAATTGAGTAAAACGAATTTTTTATTATTGATAAATGATCAGTACATTAGATTCAATTCCTGTTGTGGTGCAATACTAGAATATTATTCGTTTTTTCATTTTAAGAGATTTTATATAATTTTATATAATAATTAAACAATTCTCTTTTTTTAAATATTGTACATATTTTATGGCAATGTTTCACTTGAATAGAAGATACGTAATAGATCGTGCCTCAATACTTAGTAATAGAGCATTGGTCTAGCAATCTGGTACAATAATATACTCTTAGTTCGATTCTTACTCGTGGCATATTTTTTGACAATTCTTCTATACGGCAAAAAAAACAACGTCCAGTTTTCGCTCTAAATCCGTACACAGAAAAGTGTCCAGAAAAGTGTTCACTCAAAAAATGCGTACAAAAAAACAACGTCTGCCTGAAAAGCATTTAACTCCTTCTCGAACGAATACAAAACAATCACCGTCCTGATTATTTCTACTTTTACGAAACGAAATTGAGTATTTATCAACTTTTACTGTATTGTCTCAATCTGTGATTTAGGAAGAAGAAGAATACCCCGTCTTGCGACTACCGGTACCGGTCTAGTGTGCTGCCATGGCAGTTTCAATAGTCTGATATCTTTTCTGCAGTTGAGAAGCTTCTGGAATGGCCATCCATCGCGTTACTAGTCATCAACCACAGCTCTGATCAGACGGCTAGATTGACGCAGAGTTCTTTCACCCAATTAGCTGAGCTCCCCATACACACTTCACTAACCACGTACTAACTTTTCGAAAGCGGCAAGGACTAGCTGGAGAAGCTGTATTGTACGCCACAACGTGGTGAGTATGCTGTCGGACGGGTAAATCGAGACATAAGTGACTTGCCCAAGGTTATTGCATGACTTTGCTAGCGCGGAGGCTCAAACATAGTACCTTTGAAATACGTGACGAACAACATGACCACCAAGCCATGCTGCCCAACCTAAGATTTAACGTCTAATCCCAAGCAAAAGTGCTCCGATCAAAATACCTAGATGCTTTAGCTGGCGTATCAACCGATATTTTTTATTCTTTTATCCAGCTGCTTTAGGTGAAGTATTGAGTTAGCTAACTGCATCGTTCGATGTATTGCTGCAAGGTAACACCCTTCTCTTTTTTCACCTTGGTGCCAAATGTAGTACACGTCCAATCAAACACAAATTTATACCAGAGATAAAAGAGCGAAAAAGGAAATCGATGTATTTTTTGCTCAGAATTTTGTGACTTGATCTTCTATGAGATTTCTGAAAAACTCCGGTTTTCATTCAGTCACGTCATGATCCCTCGACAAAAGGATCCGATCGAGTCGAAATTTTCACCACAAATACCCTATCTCTGTTTCTAAATTTTGAAAAAATATGCTTTTCTTCTCGAGAAATATGAAAAATGCTGAAAATCACTGACAAAACCTTCAAAAATACTGACTTTTTTGCGTGATTTTCAGTATTTTCCATATTTCTCGGTAAGGAAAGCATATTTTTTCAAAAACATTTAGAGACCGAGATAGGGTTTGGAGTATTTGTGGTGAAAATTTCGACTTGATCGAATCCTTTTTTCGAAGGGTCATGACGTGACTGAATGAAAACCGGAGTTTTTCAGAAATCTCATAGAAGATCAAGTCACAAAATTCTGAGCAAAAAATACATCGATTTCCTTTTTCGCTCTTCTCTGGTTTAAATTTGTGCTCGATCGGACGTGTACTCCGCATTTGACAACTAGGTGAAAAAAGAGAGGGGTGTTACCCTTAACATATCTACATGCATCAAGTTAAACCCAATGCAAATGTTAATTCATAGGCAATGCTATCTAGTTGCATCTAGAGATACACTTATCTACATCTAGATACATCGATCAGTAAACTGACCACAGAGATGGTTTGAGCGAAATCATTTATCACAGTGACAGTACCAACGAGAGTAAGATATTGAGCTGAGTTAGATAAAAACATACTTTTGATATTGGTATATTTTTTTACTATTTTTTATGGTATATTAGCTTTTTTGTTTCTTAAACTATTTTGAAAAAGCAATAAAGAAAAATCCACCCAATTAAAAAGCGTCCGCTGAAAATTCGTCTTTAAGAAAGCTTCCACAAAACTCCGTTCACAGAAAAGCATACCAATATATGACGAAAACAGCGTTAACTAAAAAACGCCCACGTTTGAACGCTGTTTTTTGCTGTGTACTAAATGCATTGTCACAAAATATGTACAATATTTGACATATTGAATACTGTGACCATATCGTCTCTCTTTCCATTATTATGCCAAAAAATAGTGAAAACGAGATTTTCAGAGCTAACAGAAAACACTTTAGAATCAGAGGCTAACTGCGCAAAAGGCAATCACAAAAACTTTAAATACCCCAAAAAAACTTTGAAGAAATATTTTTACGGTACTACCAAATAGCAAACTAAGCCTTAATAAGATCCTGTCAGAATTTCCCAAGGATCCTATCAAGAAATGTATAGGTCTCTTACTCGGGTAGATAGAGGGCTCTTTGATTATTGATATTTCTTTTAAAACATCATA